ATGAGTTATTTTTCAATAAAATTGATTCACTGTAAAAAATGTTACTGCTATTTAATTTTAAAAAAATATAGTAACAATTGTTACACTTTTTTTTTTTGTTTTTTTGTTTTTGAGTAGTTAAGGCTTGATTTCTTTCATGGAATCTACCTGAATAAATAATGTAAACCCCCCCTAATTATTTAGTCTATGATACAATGAATTGAATATTTTTAGTGAAATATGCTTTTTTGTTTAAAGTTGATGCTCAAAAGTGTGTGAGTTAGAGTGGAACTAACCTGTTTACATTTGACTTTGAGTTACATTGCATTATAATAGAAACTCTTTCAAATGTCAAACATAACTGAACATTAAACATTAACAGATGTTTCCGTTTCCTTTTGGATGCTAATGTTTCCACCAGGGTTCTTAATTAGCCGAACCATCCGAATGTCATTGCTTGTCCTCCATCTATACTGCAGGTTTGGCACCAGTTAAACCAGCATGGACCAGCAAGGAAATTCATGCAAGAGAGAGAGAGTGGGGGGTGAGGGGGGATGCTGAAAAGACATTGGTGAGGAAGACAGAGATATTGAGAGGATGGGGGAGGTGAGAGAATGGGCGAGTGGAGCGGTCTTGGGAAGAGGGTTCACAGGCTAGTGCCTACTTGAAATTCAGGTTGGTTAAAATTCTGCCTGCATACTGTATGTGTGAATTGGAGAGGCGTCTCATCTAAGAGTGCAAAGGCTTTCCTCACAGAGTGCCAACAGCTGGAAGTGTTCATGTCAGCTCTAGTGAAAGGCCTTCCTGTGTTACTATAGTAATGCACACACGTTCTGTAAAGCAGAGGAGGGTTATGCATGAAGACACTGAAAGATACTGAAAGTGATGTCAGAGCCATAAAACAGCTTTACATGGGTGTTTCTTCAACTTTTGACACTTGTTGCTATTTATATCCATTAGCAGGTTTCACCTTTCTTCATAACATTTAATCTAAATTTCAGCAGTTACTCTTGCTTCTTTTGAAATGCCTCATGTATAAACAGTTTTTTGTATTGTTCTATGTGTTCTTTAACCAGCCTTCCAAACTTGAAATATATACAATATTTGTCAATTTTGTCCATAATAAAGGTCTTTTTTTAACTTTTTAAAATGTACTTGTTTAACAAGTCAGTGAAGAGCTTGAGATTAAATTTAAGACCTCAATCAAGGTAATTATCAATATATAAAATATTTAATTTAACCAAGCTGTAACTTTTTTAAATTATTCAAACAGTGTTAAATTGCCACAATGAAGACAAAATAAATAGTATTCCAAAATGTAGCTAATTTACACCAGTGTTCACCAATTCATAGGATCTTTAATGTATAGATACTTATCACTTCTACTTGTGCTTGTGTACTGTATGCCCATGCCGACTATGTGTGTTCATGCGTGTTCAATCCAGTCAAAGATGTTTGCATTTGATTTATATATTTTTGAGATGTGAGGATAGATTGTGACTTCTATGCTGTGTGTTTTTGTGCTTTGCCAGCAGAAAACAGCCGCTCATTTTGTTGGCTTGAGCTTGTTGCCTAATAAGAATGCTTAAATAATGACCCGCAGAGAGCCGTTGTCCTCCTAGGAGGCCTGTGCTGACGTGCTGACTTTTCACTCAACTCCAGTAAAGTCTGACATCCTGGGGTTACATGGTGAGCGCTGATCTAGATTTAGCTGTGCTTGCCTGGAAATCTCCCTATGATCCTTGCAACAGCACAAAATGGTTTCTTCTAATAACACCATTGCAAACATTCATGTCTATTAATGGACAAGACCGAAGCTTCCCCACAGCCTTCCCTGTTTTTTCCCCACAATGCTTGTGTGCACATGTTAATAAAAGCTGGAGTGCTTCTTCTGGAGCTTTGCACCTTAGTGCCAGATCTAAGCTTGTGATTCTGTGATGCAATAAAGTGTGTAATTAATTTCTGATACAGGTACCAACTCCCTTGGATCCATCCCGCTCTGACACTCCAATAATATCATCACTAAACATCAACCCTTAAAGGAATATTCCAGGCTCAGTTCAAGTTAAGGAAAATCAACAGCATTTGTTGAACTAATTGTAAATTAATTTAGACTCCCTTCTTTTTTAAAAAAAAAAAAAAAAGAGAGAGAAGCGAATATCGAATATCACTTACAATGAAAGTGAATGGGGCCATTTTTTTAAGGATTTAAAAGCAGAAATGTGACACCTAAATTATAAAAGCACTTACATTAATTATTTTCTTAAAAATGGTGTACTATCTAAGCTGTTAAATCATAATTTGTATAATAATTTCGGGTTTATGGAGTTGCATTGTCATGACAACGAAGGAACTTCACACAGGACAGGTTTGTAAGTGATTTTTTTTTTATGTAAAAAAATCATGCATATCGTGATCTTGTGGCTATTCTACTGAAACAGAGTTTTTTACATTTACAAATTAGCCTCAACACTGCATTTTAAATCTAAAAGGGACCATTTGAAAAAAGTTTTTATGGTAATCAACATTATATTAAAAATGTTGTTGATTGTGCTTACACTGAACCCAAATAATTGTTTTAATAAATGATCTCTAGAGGGATGCTAAAGGTGATTGAACATCATGTCATTGTGTGCTGGAAGGAAGAAAGGGGAATGACATAAAAACCAATTCAATATTTTGGGAATTTTGAGTGGGATTCAAAATACATAATGTACCAGAGTAACATTTAAGCAGAGAAGTTAGATTTAAAGGGGGTGACATAAAAGATCTTTGTACCATAAAAACATACGTTTCATGGCTTAAAATGTCGTCCTCATTATAAACAAAACATTTATTTAATCAAGCTTAAAGGGGTTGTTGATTATGATTTCACTTTTTTAACTTTAGTAGTGTTTAATGTTGCTGTTTGAGAGTGGAGAGTTGGCATTGAAACTTTTGTTGAAAGATGAAGCAGTCAGCTCTATTGACAGCAGCTGCATCACAAACCGTAAGTAAATGATTTCATAATGCTTTGTCTTTAAATTACAGTTTTAAGGAAAATGTTTTCAAAAGACTTACTCATGTACAATAGTGATACTGTTTACTATGCAGTGATAACACAGTCTCATCCCAAGAAGTCATATAACTGACGTCTTGGGACATCTTTTGACCATACGTCAACATCCGTCTATTTAGGGTACCCTTAAACGTCGGTTATATGACGATCCCGGGCCGTCATACAACTGACGCTTTACCTTTAATGTCACATGTTAGCCAATCATAACAGAGGCCATTTACTAACAAGCCTTAAAGGGATGGTTCACCCAAAAATTTAAATCCTGCCGTCATTTACTCACCCTCAAGTTGTTCTAAATCTGTACGCAGTTCTTTCTTCTGCTGAGCACAAAATAAGATATTTTGAAGAACGTTGGTTGCCAAACAGTTGATGGGCCCTATTGACTTCCATGTGGGAAACAAAAAATACTTTGGAAGTCAATGGGGCTCATCAACTGCTTACCTATATTCTTATCTACATTTGTGTTCAGCAGAAGAAATTTATAAAGGTTTGAAATAACTTTTGGGTGAACTATCCCTTTAAAGCAGTCGCCCCTTGAAAATTAAATCTTTTCAGACAGAGGGTCCGAATAAGGGTTGAAAATAATAGTTTTTAAGTGAACCTCAAGGAACATACTGTAGTAGCCATACATTTTTTTTAAATCCATGTCATGTTAATGATCCCTTAGTCCAACTCTAAACGTCCTGATGCAGATCTCTAGCACAGCACTGATCAGATTCTCAGTTTTTGCATACAATTTTCTGCATTTCTCACACACTAAAATATGTAACCAAATACTCATGTTATGTGTGACTCGAGTTTGTCAGTTCCATGAAAATCTACTTAGCTTTCTGTGGAGTTCCATTGGGTCTTTTTATTTGATCATTTCCAGTAATTAGATAATTTGTCTATCTATTAATTAATGAATTAATAAATGTATTTAAATTATACATTAATTGGAGGCCTTAACAGGAGACACATTCAAATTTTCGTTTGTACAATGCTGTGCTATAAATTTGCTTGATTTAAGTAGGAAAAGTTAGTTATTTTTTTTCCCTGTTATTTAAAATATGATTGATGTTGTGAATTTGTATGTCTTCCACGATGCAGAACAAATTACCGCTAAGGGGTAGGCTATAAATAGCCTAATAAAAGGTTTGTAAATATGTAAGCTATTACTGAAACTTTCAAATGCCAAAGGCCACAGAACAATGGAGTTGTAAATCTTTGCAACTGCATGACATATTGTTGGGATAGGCCTACACCTTCTTGACTTGCCCCTTCAAGCTCAAACAGATAAAATGTATATAAAAAGGCACAAATGTGCTTTTCCACACTCTTTCTTCTAGGCTATTTGAAACATGTCAAGCACAGGCTACTTTTTGCCTATAGTAGCCTATTGTTGTTGGGTATAGGCTACAAACATTTTCAGGACAAAAACAATGAACATTTAAACTAAAGTAGTTTGAGCTATATTCATATACATTTACGTTTCCATTGTATTTTATGTTTACCATTTTGAATAGAAAATGAAATTCATGGGGTGCGAGAGGATGGAATAGAATTATTTAGTTTACTGGCGGGAGGGCAGGACAACCTGTCAATCACATGAGAAAGCCCCACCCTACTTCTTCAAGAAGCAATTTCCCCGTTTCATATATAAATCACAATAGGGAAGAAAAGACTATCGCATCTTATGTTTCTTGACTTTTAAAATAATAGCGTTAAGTTATACAAAATCGATTAGGCTGCACTCCAGTTTTCACCATATATTCATGGAGGAGGAGTAGGCTTAACACCAGTTAGCCTCACTACCCATTTCTCTCACATTCTGAGAAAAAAAGACTTGAGAGTAAACTCTAGCCAATAGTATTGTACACCAACACGACCAGCAACTTTGCCAAATCTACAGTGACTGTTGTGCTCAGAGTTCGGCTGCTCTCACCTGACTCCTCCCCCCCCAACCCTCTCCCCCCCGAGTTCGATGCGCTCGTCTCTCGGCTCTGCTCAGGCTTGTCAGTGCGGGCGAGAGCACTGCTAAACATGGCGTCGGACGGGATGATTTTAACCAACCACGACCACCAAATCCGAGTTGGAATATTGACAGGTAAATACGAAATGACACTAGCTCCTTTTACACCTCGTCGCTCGTGCTGGTCTGTTCGTTCACGCTGTTGCCCGCTGTTGATAGTCGTGCTGGTGGTGATTTCTATCAGCGAGTTCTGCCCATCTCGCTCGCGTTCCTTGACTCATTTGTAAAAAGCTGTGCGTTTATTTATCTAAATATTCTCGTATTCATTTCTACACACATGCGATAATGTATCCGACTCTGTGAGATCTGCCTTTGGTCTGTCATGCAGCACAGCTCAGTGTCAAGACAACAGTTTGTGTGATGAATAATTCATAGCTTGTACGCAAGACATCCAAATAACATAAAGCAGATAGCTGGAAAACCCTCCTATATCTGTGAATGAACATTCCGATCGATGCCATATGTCAGTTTATGATCATATTAACGTGTGTTGCTGCTGAATAGTGCTGTTATGTAGATACGAGTTGGTATTTGGAGTTGGTCACGCAGTGTGTTTTTTTCCCCTCCTCATGGATTTCTGCACAGCAGCATCTCAGCTTCTGGTTTGCTGCTTCGAGTCTTTATTTGTACATGCACGGTGATATCTAAATATATTACAGCGTCTCGTGCAATAGATAGATCCACTTCGAAATGCACCTGAAACACGACTTTCAGGGTTAACGATAATGGCTTTTACTATGCGCGCGATCGAGTAGTACCCTATTCTCGTGTATGCAATGCATGTGAATCGTTTGCTTTGATCGCCACCCCAGTTTTGGCTAAAATTAGGGGAACGAAGCAGCCGCCTTCCCTCTTAAATATCGCTGCCGTTGCTTCCCCTCGGGAGCAGGAAGGAATAAGTGATGAGTGATGAATACCGATGTCCGATTCGTGAACATGTTTTTTTTTTTTTTGAGTCAGAGATCTTTATAATGAACTTGTTCACAATCACAATGAATTAGTTCGCGAGTCGGATATACGAGTCGAATTGATCGATTGATTTAGTGACTCTGACTCATTAACTCATTGATTCGAGAACAGTTTTTCCTACTCGTAAATAATGTGCTGTGTTCTGTAAATAAATGAAAACTTTATTAGCCTATATAAACGTTTTATTCAACATGCATGATTATGCAATCCCATTAGCGACATTTCAGCGAAATTTTGCATGTGTGATATTGCCAATATATAATGTAACAATCACTTTTAAACCAAGCAGCTCTCTATTAGTCCACACTGCAAACTTGTGTGACCAACTTGAACACATTGTGAATTCTGTGTGAGGAAATCTTTGGCCCTGGCCTCATCATGTGAAATTCCTGTTTGCATTGATTCCAATAAAATAATTGGATATAGTCCTGAAAATTCGCCGAACAACAATAAATGTGACAGCATTAATTTAGTGTTATTAAAATCACCCTTATTAATAATACTAACTTATGGCAACAATTTTATCAAACTATGTGGCTGCATGGTTTTATTGGAACATTTTCGAGCATTTAATACCACACAATGATGTCACGGATCACATATCACATGATGTAAAATAATCACTGAATCATTTTTAAACTGGTTCTTTGTAACAGACGGCTTAAAGCAACCGAATCATGGAAATGAATTGGACTTGGATCACAAGTGATGAAATGCACACACACTGACTGAATGCAAATGTCAATGACTTTGCAGTGTGTCACATGTTCATGACAGTCTTTTCGGCGTGCTTCCGCAAGCCTATTCCGTGAGCACGAGTCTCTGAGCTTGTTGCGAGGGGGAATGGCATAAAAGAGTGTGGGAATCCCCCTCCCCCCTCCACACATGCACCCCTGGTATAAGCATGACTGCTGGCTGAGGGTGCTGTCCACTGTTTTTTTGGTGCTGAAATGCTGTCAGCCTCATATTTGTGCTTTTCGCAATGTTTTTCTCAGCTATATGGAGCTGAAACAGAAATATATTTGAAAAGGTGAGAGGGATTTTCCTCAGGACATTATAAGCAGCACCCCCCTTTTCCACTTTCTCTTATACTAACATCAGCTGATCTAGTCCATCATTAGTCGCAGTCACGGCAAACCCTTCTAGGAGATTGGTTAGCATGCCTGCACTGTGTTGGGGCATTTCGTGGAAGCGCACGCTTATTGATGAGGAGCTCTGTGTGTGTGTGTGTAAAGGAGGTAGGGAGGGAGCAAGAGCGAGTATAGATGCCTTAGAGTGAGACGAAAATGGGACCAAATACAAAGAACGAAACGTGCATACTTAATAGTGAGCGAGTGACACATCGCCATTTCTAGACAGTTGTGCATTGACAGGGCAAAAACCTTTTGACCCCTTGTTTTAGATGTTGTCAATTGGTATAATAGAAACATAACTGGGGCTTTCAAATTAATAGATCTCCAAACTAATGCATAAAATGGCATTAATACATTTTTTTAATTAGAAACCAGAGATTTTGTGCAATTCAAAGTTGGGGTGGCAGTCGAGACATGCTCTGCAGATATCCAAGTGGTTTCCAGAACGTTATCATTGTTCCGAAAGCTGTCTCGTATTATGAATGTTTTACATATAACATTCATAGCCTGCAACATTTTAGGGGAGAAAGGGAAATAATGAATGCATATAAAGGACAAATGCAGAATTCTCATGAGTCTCAAGGTTTTGGTTGAATGCTGAGCTCAAAGGCTTGGATTTTCGGAAGGGTGTTGCTTTTGGTTTTTATAGAATGGTAAAGTATTTGTGTGTCCTACAAACCACCTCCTGAAAGGGATTGTGATTTTGGACCAATTTTGACGTGTTGTAAATGCCATATATTTACTGCATTCATCACGTTTGCTCAACCAAGCGTTTTTCATTCTGATTGCTTGAGCTGTAGTTGTGCATGCTATGGAGGGTTAGATACATCTATCGGTAAGTCGTTGGTTGCTTTTTGATATCGGATACATGAAATAACTCATAGAGAAAAAGCCCAAGCTTTTAGATCATTTCCTCTCCAGCTCTCATCTTTCAATTCAAAGGTGCCAGCATCAGAGTTACATTCACGGCTGTGGATGCTGTCAGGACTTGTCTCTGAGGTGTTCAGAGTGATCCTCCCGTGTGGGCAGGGCTCCTCCTTCTGAACAGCTGTCGTACTTCAGCGAATAAACTGAAGTCAGGTACATGCCTGTCATTGATGGGCTTTATTTCCTCAAACACAGGAAATTATTGAGTTCTGGATTTTTTTTTTAGCATCCAAATGGGTTTTACTATGTATGAATCCCTGTGCAAGACATGCGGGGGAAAAATTATATTGTGGCCACAAATTTTAGAATTCTTAAAATGCCTATAATAATATCCAATTTGTTACAACAATGTAACCACAAGGTGGTACTCTCTAAACCAAAACACCAGCTTAGTCGTTAAAGAAGTAGTTCACTTTTGAAAAAACTTTTGCTGACGAAACGTTTCCAGACGATGAATAAGGGTCTTATCAAGCGAAACGATCGCTTATTTAATAAATAAATAACAAAGTTTTATTTTTATAAGCTCAAATGCTCGCCTTGCTCGGTTCTGTGAGACACGCTTGTGACTCTCCTGTTCGAACTCATTCATCAAAATGAACAAATCTTTTTCCGAGTCATTTGGTTCATTCAACGAATGAAACGAACGAATTGACTCGGAAAAAGATTTGTTCATTTTGATGAACGAGTTCGAACAGGAGAGTCACCAACGTGCATCGCAGTCCAGAGCAAGGTGACCATTTGAGCTTATACAGTAAAACTAAAACTTTGTTATTGTTTTCTTTAAATGAGCGATCGTTTCGCTTGATAAGACCCTTATTCATTGTCTGGAATCGTTTAAAGCCGTTTGGTTCCCACTGAAGTCCATTATATGGAGAAAAATACTGGAATGTTTTCGTCAAAATCAAAAACCTTAATTTCTTTTCGACTGAAGAAAGAAAGACATGGACATCTTGGATGACATGGGGGTGAGTAAATTATCAGCAAATGTTTTTTTGAAAAGTGAACTACTAAATATATGGTCAAGTATGCCGGCCTGACACATGACGGGAAGAAGGAAGAAATAAGATATTATGGCCAAAAATGTAGAATCTGTTACCTTGACTTAATTCATTATCTGACTTTAATTAAGCTAAATCGTAGCCACGATTTGAGTAAAACGAAGGAACGAATTAGTACAATGTGGCCACAATTTACTAAAATGAGAGAATGGATTAATAAGATTTCCCCCCTTGTGTTGTGTGTGGGGCTGCGTAACTTTGGTTTACTTGGCAAGATATTTTACCATTAAACTGAAGTTTCGATTTAGAGAGCGTCACCTTGGCATTATATTGATACAACACATTGGGTATTATAGCGTGCCACAAAAATTAATCCTAAAACCCAGAAATTAGTTAGCATAACTTTTTTGTTTTGAAATAAGATCTGTGGTAAACACAAGCTTAAGATATTGTTCACGTTTTATTGTATGACAATAAAATACATCAGGATTTACCCCCTCGTGATATATTTAAGCTTTTAGATGGCGGTCGACAACAAGTGGCGAAATGGGACTTCAGAGGCCATTGAGGACATTAAACGTCATCATGCCAAACAGATCAACTCATCTCCTCACTAGTCGACTTTTACAGCCTTTGTACTGTTGGAAAACATTCTAACTCATACTTTCTAACTTGTAGATTTTAAATATAGACAAAAATTTGTCAAAGTGAGGGTGTTGAAGTCGCGACTCGCGATCGTGGAATAGTTCTTTATAGCCTAAATTTGGATTTTGACTTCTGGCGATTGCATTAAGAATTCAAAATTACTGAAAATTGTATTCATTTGTGAAGATCAAGAAGTATCTTAAACTTTTGTTGGCCGCACAGAGCTTATTTTCTGTAGTTGACCAAAAGTCATTGGAAAAAATCCGATTGGCTTTTTGTTAAGGGAACCAGGGTGATGCTAACTTCCGGGTTGGCATACAAAAATGTTTTCCCTGCACTGCAGCACTCTGTTATAGCCATCATTTAAGTACCGTAATCGTTGTATTGAATTTTTTATTATCAA